ATTTTCTCATTTTCTCATTTTCTCATTTTCTCATTTTCTCATTTTCTCATTTTCTCATTTTCTCATTTTCTCATTTTCTCATTTTCTCATTTTCTAATTTTCTCATTTTCTCATTTTCTCATTTTCTCATTTTTTTTGGGCTACAATGAGGTAGAATTTTGGGGTTTATGGGCTCAAATCCTATTATACTTTGTTTCAGTTGTGTGAGTTTCACAAAAATGGGATTGTTGAATGGGATGATGTCCAAAAAGTGCCGTTTTTGTACGAGGATACGCTTTGGGTTGGGTTTGATGACCCGAAATCGGTGGCTTTGAAGGTAATTTTTGTGGTTTTGATCATTTTTTGTAAAGTGATTTTAGGCTCAATATGCGAAAGATAATAATTTGGGTGGGGTTATGATTTGGTCGATTGAAACTGATGATTTGCATGGTACTTGTGGGGGGAGGAAAAATGCACTACTACAAGCCGTCAACGATGCGATGAAAACATAGTTTCAAATATGTAAAATAAAATATAAATGAAAACTTTAGTTTTCTGCTTTGGATTTTCTTATTAACCAACAAAAATTTTTTTTTGAAAAACTTGCGTGAATGTTGGTAAATTGAGTGCTAGTGAATATTAATTTGAGATGAGTAAAAGTACGGTATGCAAAAGCTACATGGTCTCAAAATTTAGCCAGTATTGGTTCTTAATTTTTTCAAAAATATCATTTTTTTTTTAATTTTTTTCGAATATTTTCTTTTTTCAGTTTTATTATTTATTTTTTTTACTCAATTTTACCAATAATTTTGCATTTAACAAGTAAAAATTCCAGTTCTACCAACTTTTAACAGTTTTATCATTTTTTTATTTATTTGTTTCTTTTATTAATAATTTTGCAACTAACAAGTGAGAGTTCTAGTCTTGCCAACTCTCTAATTTAATATTTTTTCAATTTTATTATTTATTTTTTTACTCAATTTTACCAATAATTTTGCAATTAACAAGTAAAAATTCGAGTTCTACCAACTTTTAGCATTTTTTTATTCATTTTATTTAATTTTACCAATAATTTTGCACTTAACACGTAAAGGTTCCAGTTCTACCAACTTCTAACAGTTTTATTATTTTTAATTTTTTTTTCTATTTTATTAATAATTTTGGAATCAACAAATGTAAATTTTAAAAATGTAAAATGAAATGTAAATGAAAGTTTAGTTTTAAACAGATTTTTTTTGCTTCGGAATTTTTTATTTACCAAAAATTTTTTTTTTGAAAAATTGCGTGAATGTTGGTAAATTCAATACTGGTGAATATTAGTTTGAGATGAGTAAAAGTACGGTATACAAAAACTAAATGGTCTCAAAAATTAGTCAGTTCTTGATTTTTTTACAAGTTTTCAAAAATATCAATTTTTTTAAAATATTTCGAATATTTTTATGCAAAATTGTAAAAAATCTGAAAAAAGCGTTTTTTTTTATTTTGGTAAAAATTACATTTCTTTTAATTCTCTTCTAAAACGTTAATTAATCGGTCCGAGAAAACAGTAGATGTTACTTTTTTTCTCTTATTTTTAAATCAATGTTGCAAGTAAATTTTTTTTTTAAATTGTATAAACATCTTGTAAAAAATTTATTCCAGTATTTGAAGCTGAATGAACAACAAACAATTTAACTAATAAAAATTTCCCCAAGTCCGTGGACTAAAAAAAAAGTTAAATAAAACACAATTTTTTTTCTCGCTTCATTTCTTAGGATTGCGAAATAAATAATTTTTTGCCAAAAAACCTCAAGACTAGAAACTTGAAGCTTCAAAATGGGTTTTTAAAAATCTAAATACTGCTATTTTTCATTGAGGTACAATATTTCAAAAATCATCAAAAAAAAATAAGAATTTTTTTCTACATTTTTTGGAATAGTATACAAAAAGTTTATGTAAAATTATTATGTAAAAATTTGAGATAATAAGAAGTTTTTTAAGGAGCAAAACTTTACTTGAAACTGTAGGAAAATCACTAAACGGGTGTCCTAAAATATGCACTTTATTCAATCTGCAAAATTCTTGATCGTTTAGAAGTTATAGTTGAATTAATATTTTGCATATTTTTGATTTTACCAGCGTTTAAAATATGGTTTTCTTTACAAAAAAAAACGGTTTTTCTGAACTTGATTTTTCAAAACTAAATTTGTGTTTTTCTGAGCTAAACCCCTCTGCGCCACTGCTCCCGACTTCACCCTACTTTACTCGTTGCATTGACTAAATTATGAGGTTATCTAAATAATTATCTTTAAATATTGGCCTAAAATCAAACATTAAAATCTGAATTTAGTAATTTTACAAATGGTGATATCTTGAAAAATGCTTATAATCTTGAAAATTACCTTGAATACACCTCAATTTGCATTTGATCTAAAAGCAAAAAAATTAACTACAATTCGCCCGAAACGACTGAAATATTTTGATAAAACCTAACACCTATCTAATAGAAGCAATTTTGTTAAAATTTCAAATAAAAAACTCTTATTTTGTGTATTTTTGTAATGAAATAAACACTCGATTTTATCAGAGATTACTCAGTGCTCATTTTTAACTCCTCTCAAAGATTAAAAAACATCAAACTGAAGGCTAAGACTCATTTTCGTGGCGAAATAATTGCATAACATTTTTTTTTAACTTTTAATTCTTTTAATATTGCGAAAACCACATATTCTAGATCGAAAAAAAAAGATTTATTTGACAAATTAGTGTTATTTTTCGATGCAATTTTTTTGAGAAAACACCCTGTATTTTTATTTTGCCTTCAATAGTCGAACTTTTGTTCTAATTTTATGACACATCTGAACTTTGATAAGCTTTCTCGGAACAAAAAACCCCAAATTAACATCACAATCATATCAATGATTTTGCAACAATCAATTATAATAAATTTGATTATCACTCCGATAAATTGTATATAAACGAAATTTTACTCAAAATTGATCAAAAACAACGAAAATGTTCCTCAAGTTGTGTCTTCTCGCCTCAGCTTTGCTGATTTCCACCCACCAAACCGAAGCAAAAACAGGTAATAAAAAATTATTAATATTTAATTATTAAAATTAATTATTAATAATTAATA